AGGGAACACAGCACTGGCCTCACATCTGGGTTGGGGGTTCAGGGCTGTGTCTAGGGGGTGCAGCGGCTCTTGGAGCAGGGGGACCATGGCCAGCACCCACAGAATGGGGTCAGCATCAGCAGGATAGGATCAGCACCCACAGAATGGGGCCAGCATCAGCAGGATAGCATCAGCACCCACAGAATGGGGCCAGCATCAGCAGGATAGGATCAGCATCCTTAGAACAGGGCAAGGATCTGCAGGATGGGGTTGAAGCTGCAGGATGGGACCAGCACCCATAGGTTGAGGCAAACATGCAGGGGACAGGACCAGCATCCAAAAAATAAGACCCCCAGCACTGTGGGGGATATCAGCACTTGAAGGATGGGACCAGGACCCACAGGGCAGGGCAGGTGCCCTGCACAGGGACCACAGCACAGGGACCCCAGCTCACCCCCCAGCACACCCTCACTCCCTGCAGGGGTGGCAGTGTCAGAGCACCTGGAGCTGGTGGGAGCCAGCAGGAGGAAGCAGAGCCGGCCCCAGTCCCCACCCCGGGTCCAGCTCCTCCCCCCGCAGTGCCCAGGTCCGGATGCAGAAGTGCAGAAGTTGCCGTGGCTCTTGCAACACCCTGTGGTGACAGCGAAAGGGGGGGAAGTCAGGGCACCCACAGCTGGGGAGACAGTGCTGGCCCCACCTCGGGGGTTTGGGGCTCTGGCTGGGGGTGCAGAGGCTCTTGGTGGCCAAAGCACCCCAAAACCCAGAGCGTGGGGAGAAGCAATGGGTCTGATGCACTCCCCCTGCAAAATCCCCCTCCTTGTGGGCAGCCACCCTTTCCATTCCTGCAGTGTCACTGAGAGGGACCCCAAAGCTGGAGCCCCCCCCGGGGTCCCTGGGGAGGGCTGGGAATGTCCCTCGAGGTGATGGCAGCCCTAGGACCTGGCTGTCCCCAAGCTGGTGGCTATGATCCTCGCCCCACCCATGTCCTAGTCCTGCAGAGACCATAGGAGGGGACAAAGGGCTCCCACAAAGGACATCTGGCAGCCTTGCCTGTTCTGGAGGAGGGCAGCCCACACCCCCCAGCAGCATCCCGGTGTCCCTGTCCCCTGTGGGCAGGTGCCACCCTCATCCCCTTGTCCCCACAGAGGCACCCCAGCACCCTGACCACCCCCGAGCACACGGTGAAGCTGCGCGGGGCCACCCTCACCTGGGCCGGCAGGGACAAGTCCAGCAAGAAGAACGTCCTGGAGGTGAGCAGGTGACAGCAGGAGGGACACTGCTCACACCCCAGGGTCCACACGCGGCCCACAGGGCAATGCCACCCCTGCCCAGTTCAGGGGATGCCAGTGGGGACACCGGGGACGTGCCAGGGTGGGCGTGCAGGGACTGGCACTGCCCGTCACTGTCCCATTCTGATGGGGACAGAGAGGCCACCAAGGGACGTCCTGGCTCCCAGAGGGGCTTTGCACAGGGAGGAGCCGCTCCAGCCGCTCCAGCTCCCCGCAGACGGCACCGTTTGGTGCCATCTCAGCTGGCGTCGGGCTCAGCCACATCCTGGTTCCCAAATCCGCCCGGTTGCGGCAGCCCCGTGCCCTTTCCCTGACCTCTGTCTGTTGCTCCGGCAGCTGAGGACGCGGGAGGGCTCGGAATTCCTCATCCAGCACGACTCGGAGCAGATCATCACTGCCTGGCACAAGGCCATCGCCGACAGCATCGGCCGCAGGGTGAGCGGGGCCCCCAAATCCCCGCGGCCGCCCTGGGGCTGGGGCCGGGCCCGGCGTCTCACGGTGCCGCTTCCGTAGGGCTCCGACATCTCCGCCGAGGATGAGGCCGAAATTCGGGCTGAGTTCGGCTCCCGGGAGAAGCTGGGGGGTGGCGAGGAGCGGAGGGCAGGTGAGCACCCGGGATGGGCATGGGGGGCCTGGCAGTGCCACCCACCCTGCGGGGACCTAGGGATGATGCTGATGTGTCCCATGTCTCCAGCAGCGACCGGACAGGCGACGGGCAGTGCCGAGAATGACACCAACCGGGTCCGGAACAAACTCCGCAAGTTCCTGCAGAGGCGGCCAACGATGCAGTCGCTGCGGGAGAGGGGCTACATCAAGGGTGGGTGTGCGGGGCGGGATCGGGGGTTGCTGGCATGGGGCTGGGATGAGGGCAAATCCAGAGTGGAATGGGCTGTAGGGATAGGACCTGTCACGGGTGGGTGCTGGAATGGGGCTGAGTCCCACAGGATGTCTGCAGGATGGAGGGTGCTGGAACAGCCAGGGATGGAGCTGGGATGGCCAAGGGGAGAGCTGGGACAGCCAGGGATAGAGCTGGGATGGCCAAGGGGGGGAGCTGGGACAGCCAGGGATGGAGCTGGGACGGCCAAGGATGGAGCTGGGACAGCCAAGGGATGGAGCTGGGACAGCCAAGGGATGGAGCTGGGATGGCCAAGGATGGAGCTGGGACAGNCCTGTGACCCCCGGCACAGAGTGGGGTGACACCCCGGCCCCACAGCCACTGCTGGGACCCCCAAAGTCTCCCCACCGAGCTGACCCCATGGGACAAACCTGCAGGTGACCCCACCATAGGGGCCTGCCAGAATTAACCATTTCGAAGGTGTGAGGGACCCCATTCACCCTCCACCCTCAGGCCCAGTGCCTCAGTTTCCCCACCCTCATGGGCACCCCTGGGCTTTCTCATTCCCCTATTCTGCAGAACCCCGTGGTCTCTGGGGGGGTTTGCAGTGATCCCTCAGGATCCCGGAGCGTTCCGGGGTGAGAGGAGGCACAAAGGGTTAACAGGGAAGCGCGGCAGCTCCTCCCTGCCGGGGCGGGAGCCTCACCTGGGCGCAGCACCCATTGACCGAGGTGTGTGCTGGGTGCTCCCCGGCACAGGCCGGCGCCCCGACACCCCAAAGCCACGCTCACCCCACACCTGTAAGTAGCAAAGGGCTGTGCCCAGCACCCCCTGGGCTGCACCTCCCCGAGGGGGCACCCAAGGGTGGGGGTCCCCGCCGGCCACCGTGGCGGGCCGGGGTGCACAGGGTGAGGCAGCGCCGGCACAGGGGTGGGGCCACTCCCGACCTTGTCCACTCCTCACTTGTCCCCAGCCCCTCACTTCGGAGTGACCCCGGGCACCTGCAGCACCCCCGGCCTGGGTGTCCCCCACTTCCAGGGGGGCTGGAGGGATTGTGCACCTGGGGGAGTTGCTGGAGGAAATGGGGTACTGGTGGTGGGGGGCTGTGGTTTACAGCCCATTGCCACCCCATTTTCACCTCATTTCCACCCCATTTTCACCTCAGTTTCACCCCATTTTATACCTTGTGCCCCCAGGTGTGCCCTTTGCACACCCAAAGCCACTGAGCCCCCTCTGGGGGTGACCCAGCATAGTCCCCAACCCCAGTGCCAACACGGGAACATTCCCCTTCCTGCCCAAATCCAACCAGTGCCAAAACCATCGGGCATGGCAGGACCATGGTGGCATCAGTCCTGCCACCATCTGCACCGGATGGGATGGGATGATCCCAGTGTTGTGGGGACACAGCAGCTCCAGATCAGCGTCCATTTGAGCAGTGTGACACCAGATGGGGCACCCAAAATCACCCCAGTGCAATTCTTGCTCAGCATCACCCTGGAGCAGCTCCTGGGTGGCCTGGGCTTTGCTGGAGCGGGTGACGAGTGGCAGGTTGTGGGTGCCGGGTGACAACAGCCCCGAGAGGAGCCGGTTCCGCCCTGGGCGNCCCAGCCCGTGGGGTGGGCATGGGGAGGGGGTCCCTGCAGGGTGGGAACCCCATGGGGACTCCCAGTCTGTCCGGGTGGGGACACAAGGTCCCCTGGGCCTGGTATGGCTGGTGTCCTGCTGAGCATGGGGACAGGGACACACAGGCCCTGCTACTGCAGCACGGCTGGTTCCAGGGTCCCCGTGGCACAGCTGGGGTCGAATTTGGGGGATCCCCATGGAAAGGGGGCTCTGGAGGTCCACATGACCCCATAGGAATCAGGACTGGGGGCTCTGGGGTCCCTGTGGCCCCATAGGGACAGGAACTCTGGGGTCTCTATAGGGATTAGCCTCTGGGATCACCATGGCCCCATAGGGACAGGAGCTCTGGGATTCCTATAGGGATCAGTCTCTGGGGTCACCATGGCCCCATAGGGACAGGAACTGTGGGGTCTCCATAGGGATCAGTCTCTGGGGTCCCGGTGGTCCCATAGGGACTGGAACTCTGGGGTCTCTATAGGGATTAGCCTCTGGGCTCCCTGTGGCCCCATAGGAAAGGGCTCTTGGGGTCCCTGTCAGGGGTAGGCTCTGGGGGGTCTCCATGTCCCCATAGGGACATGGCTGTGGGTGGGGGTCTCCAGAAGGACACACTCTGGGGGTCCCCATAACCCCCTATGGCCCAGGCCTTGCTCTCCTCACCCCAGACCCTGTCCCCCTCTGTCCCCATGGCCATGGTGCCAGGATGAGGGCAGGCCCCCAAATCATGCAGCACCCCACACCCAGAGTCACCACATCCCCCAGGTGACACTGACCCTGGGGACAGGGATCCATCAGGGGGTGACACCAGGTCCTGGCTGGGTGTTTTGGGGTGCAGGGTGGAGAGGAGAACATCTGTAGGGTTCCAGTCCCTGATGTCCCTGTCACTGCAGCCCCCAGCGTGCTGTGATGGCCCCGGACGCCTGAGCCCCTGTGGCAGGGACAAGCCATGGAGACCGTTGTCATCGTGGCCATTGGGGTGCTGGCCACCATCTTCCTGGCGTCCTTCGTGGCGCTGGTGGTGGTGTGCAGGCAGCGCTACTGTCACCCCAAGGACCTGCGCCACCACTACGACACCAAGTGAGTGACCCACAGTGTCCCTGTCCCCACCAGGGAGGGACCCCATCCTCCATGGGCTGGGGACAGTGGTGGGGACATGTTCAGCATCATCATGGAGACAATGTGGGGGACATGTCCATGGTCATCGGGGGAACAAAGATGGGGACACGTCCAACATCATCCAGGGAACAAAGATGGGGACATGTCCAACATTCCAGGGAACAAAGATGGGGACACATGCACTGTGACCAGGGGGATGATGCAGACGATGTCCAGCATCATCAGAGGGAAGATGCCCCCATCTTGTCCCAGTTTGGGATACATCCATATCACCGGGGGACAAAGATGGGGACACGTCCACCAGCACCAGGGCTATTGGGGCTGTGGGGTCACCCGAGGAGGTGGCCCTTGGTGGGATGTCCCCCATGTCTCTGACAGACCCATCGTGGACCTGATGGGGACCACGGAGACGCCATCAGAGCCCTCGGAGCTGGAGCTGGACGATGTGGTCATCACCAACCCCCACATAGAGGCCATCCTGGAGAACGAGGACTGGGTCGAGGACGCCTCGTGAGTGTCCCCTGTGTCCCCCCACTGCTGGGGACCCCTGTGCAGTGCCAGCCCCCCATCATGGGATGCAGGGGACAGATTTGGAGGTCACCAAGCCATGGGGATGGTCCTCAAGATGGTCTTGGGGTGGGAATACCCCCACAGGTCTGGGGGACATGGGCTGGCAGGAGAGGGGGAGACACAGGGGACAAGGACAGTGCAGGGGGGACACAGGTGGATTCACACCCTTCTCCCTCTCCACAGGGGTCTGGTGTCCCACTGCATCGCCATCCTGAAGGTGAGTGAGAGCGTGGCACTGGTGGCAGTGGTGACACTGGTGGCAATGGCAGCTCTGGTGGTACTGGTAGAGCTGTGGTACTGGTAGGCAGTGGTGGCACCAGTGGCACTTGTGACATTCATGTCAATGGTGGGCCGCACTTGTGGTAATGGTGGCAATGGTGACATTGTTGGTACTGGTGGCACTGGTGCTGATGGTAGGTGGCACTTGTGGCACTGGTGTTGATGGTGGCACTGAGTGCCCACCACTGTCCCCCAGATCTGTCACACACTGACGGAGAAGTTGGTGGCCATGACCATGGGCTCGGGTGCACGAGTGAAGTCCCCAGCCAGCCTGGGTGACATCATCGTGGTGGCCAAGCGCATCAGCCCCAGGTGACAGGGGATGCCTGGGGGGTTCCAGGGCTCTTGGGTGGGGTCCTGTGGCTCTGGGGTGTCCCCAGGGACTGGGGAGGAAAATTCCAGTGGAGGGTCCCCAGAGATTTGGGACAGGGTGGGTCTGAAGGGGTCACGGAGGCTCTGGGGATGTCCTGAGGCTCTGGTGGGGGGTCCTGAGGCACTGAGGGGGACCCTGGGGACTCTGGAGGGAAATGTGGGGACTTCAGGGCTGTCGGGGGACTCTGGGAGGTGTTCCAGTGCTCTGGGGTGATTTTGGGACTGTGGGAGGTGTCCTGGGGCTCAGGGGGTACCTGGGGCTCTGGGGGGTTCCTGGGGCTCTAGGGGGGTCCCAGAACTCCAAGGGGGCTCTTGATGCCTGGGATGGGTGTGCTGGAGGTGTCACCACAGTGTCCCTGGGGTTAACACTGTCCCCACCGCAGGGTGGACGACGTGGTGAGATCCATGTATCCCCCGCTGGACCCCAAACTGCTGGATGCGAGGTGACAGCAGTGGGAAGGACAGGGACGCTCCTGGGTGGGAGATACCTGTGGGTGGGGACACCCCCCAATCCCATATCACACCTCTGGGGACAACCCCACTCTGGAGACAAACCCAGGTGACCCAGCAGGATGGGGAGTGAGCAGATTCCAGAATATCACAGGATGGGGGGGACCCCAAGACTCATCTAATCCCACCCCCAGCCCTGCCCAGACCCCACAACACTCCCACCCTGGGCATCCCTGGCAGCGCTGTCCAAACCCTCCTGGAGCTCTGGGGCCATTTTCTGGGGAGCCTGGGCAGTGCCAGCACCTCTGGGGGGAGAACCTTTCCCTAAAATCCATCCCAACCCTGCTGTGACACAACCTCAGGCCATTCCCTGAGGGTCCTGGTCACCGCAGCCAAACTGGCGACCACGCTGCTGTTGCTGAGGAAGCCACTTGGGGCAGGGCGGTGACAGGGAGGTGACAGGGCGGTGACAGCCCCGTGTCCCTGCAGGGCC